CTGATGAAAGAGGCTCTAGTTTAAGCAGAACTGATTCAACGTTTCAACTTAAGAAAAGTACAGACTCTTCAGTGCAAAACTAACGAAACCTCACATCATATTTAGGACAGTTAAACTTGGATGACCAGGGCTGTCAAGTTTTTAAGCTTCCTGTCCAAATCTCAGACAAATAATCTCTACGATGAAACATCCAAAAGTCAGAGTTCAACTCTGAATTTTCTGTACATGTGTCAATCAGTCATTTGCTGTGTCGACTAGCTGTCATGTTGGAAAGAAATCAGTGTTTTCCAAAGAGCTTCGGGAGAGTTACAGCTTCCTTTAAAAGCACAAGGCAACAAATATGCTGGGTTTTGCTCGCACTCAAGTGTCCGCTGTCAGTCCCCCGCAGTGGAAATGCCAATATACAAAGTCATATTTGAGTGAGTGAGCTCAAACAGTGGATAAAGGTGGAGGTGCTTCGGAGAGTACAGATGGAAGTGCACCATGAGCTCACACATGTGGGTTTGGATTTAAACGAAAGGTTAGAGACCACAGACACATGAACTCTCCAGTATCTCCTTGTCTCCTATAATCCTCCAAGAGCGAGTTACCTGGACTTGTGTATCTGATCTTGCCAACTCTTTATGTCGTCACTTCTGTCATGTATAACTTAAATTCCCTACATTAAGGTCAGAATTAGTCAGATGGTTATGTACACATAAATTCCCCCCAAGCTCAACTTATGAGACTGTTGGAAAGGGCAGGGAGTACAGTACAGTTACCTGACTGTAAAAATCTGGTTTTGTAAAGAAAAGAGGCTTTGTGGTCCAATAGCTATCCCCTTTGTATGCAGCTGTATGCTTGAAGTGTCTGTCTTGGGCTCTTCCTTGCATGCCGCTTCCCCCATTTTCTGCTCTGTCCACTGACCTATTCTCTGTACAAGAGCAGGAAGACAGAAAGTAGAGATAACTGAAACTATTTTCCCACTCGCAGATCTTGTAGTACTCTTACTATTGGAAACACGCCATTATGAATCCATTGCCAAGTTTTTTTTTTTTTTATCTCTGTCTGCGGTCACAGTCTACTATTACAGGTGCAAATTGAGTATTTGTTTATGTTCACCACACACACATACTTAAAGTAAAGTCAGTCTAAAACAGAAGCAATAAATCATTTGCTTGTTTTGTACTGAAGATTCGAGTACATCGAAAGCTCTCTGTGGCTGGGCAAGCTGGTTTTTGATTATCCTCCTGTTTTGAGGCAGATTTAAAGTAAGTCACACAAACGCCTACACTGCATTTTTTCCTGAATGTAAAATCACCTTCGTCAATAGAACCTCCCATACAAAATTTTACCTACCATGCACATATGTTAAATATGTCCATAACAAGACACTATCTAAGCAGATCCATTGTAAAAGCTTCTCTTTTTTTATTTTAATGAAACATCCTGTCATGTCAGCTCTTGAGATCATGTTAGCAAATCTGCATAGTCAGTCAGCTATGTCCCGAGGCTTCAAGAGCTTAGATACAGCTGTATTATTTGTGATTGAATGTTTGAGGCTGCTGCAAACTAGAATTCGAGGCCATTCAGTGTTTGCTTTTTCATTTAGCTGAAGCTTGCTGAACAGACTGTCAGACCTGCCGGATTAAAAGCAAATCCATGCATGCACTTTGGAACTAACAGTCAGACTTCTAACAAGCAGGGAGGCAGTGCCCAGTTAGATGTCATGTGCACTGTGCTGCTGCAGCTCCAGGGGGAGAATGGGAAAGGTTTCAGAGCAAAGAATAGCGTGGAGCATATCCTGGTTTGTTGTCATGATCCCGTCCTTTCTGTGGGAGGATGAATGCTCGAGAGGAACTTAGAACCTGCAGTACGTTCTGTCTTCTTTTAGAAAAAGTCAATACTCAAGGAATAAAGCGCCTTTTTATGTGCATACAATGGGCAAAGTGTACTCTGCTTTCAAGTTTGATTCAAGGAGATTCTAACATGGGATTCGTGAACTTTATTTCCTGTTATTCCAATATTTTCTACGCAGCAACGCATGAATCTTTTACTTTAATACATTCTGCAGAGTATCTTCTGTAGAGTCTGGTTTTCTTAGCATCATGTCTTCCCATTGTTTGATAAGACAGGTATTTCAGACAGGTCAATGTAGATGTTTCTTTAACTGTATTTGCTGCCTCTTCAGTATTTTCCTATCTGCAAAACTCTGATTTCTTTCCGTTCAAGTTCATCTTACACTGCATGTTTTTCTTTGTTAGCAACACAATCTCCTGAGAGTACATCTCTGATGTCTATCAGAGGTATTAGATACTTCCACTCTATATTAAAATGTTTGTACTGCTCATCTAGACTCTGCCTTTTACAGTTAACCACTGAGGCTATCTTTTATATATCAGGTTTTCACCTCACGGTTATCATGACTGAATATAATTCTCAATAACATTATCAGGATTATCAGAAACTTGAAAAAATGCCCTCAGAGAAACTTCACTTCAAGTTTACTAGTAGAGGCACCTGATTTATTGACACCTCACCATCCATTTTTAGTTATGTTAAAAATTATTTCTTTTTATTTTATCTGTGTTACCAGAAACATAAACTTCTAAGTGAACAAAAACTGATACTGCAGTCTACCTTGGCTTCAAACAGACTGTCTTTTTTACAAAATCCAATCCAAGAGAGGCTCTCAAACTGGCGTAGAAACTCTTTTGGAGGGTACAGTAACTTACGTTTGCCATCTCATCCAGTTTGTCCTGCAGTTGTAGCTTCACTCTGTGGTTAAAGCTTCGTTTTCTGCTGCTTCAGATTTTTCTTTGTCTTCTTTCTGCTTAATGACGGTTGACAACCGACAAACCATGAACCAGTTGTATACACGGCATAGCTGTATGTTTGTTTTCAGCATGATATCAATGCTTTATCTTTTTTTGTTTGAATAGATGGTTTTTGTCAGTATGAGAATATTGAACTTTCTTTTTTTGAACAGTTTATTTATTGAAAATTTCAAACAAAAAACAATATTACAGAGTCAACACCATTAAGGCATTAAATTCTTACCTCCCACCCCCCATGGACAAGAGTGGGGTGAAAAAAAAGATAATAATAGTAATAATGATAATGATGATGATGATGATGATGATGATGATGCAGATGATGATGATAATAATAACAACAACAACAGCAACAATGATAATGATAATGATAATGATAATAATAATAATAATAATAATAATGATAATAAAGAGATAACAACAACAAAAAGGATAGTAATAAAATAAAATAGATCAATAAAGATTAGGAGAAGATGAATAAATAAACAAAGATTAAGAATAAAACAACTTAAGTTACATCAACAGTGATAACACATACTTACAGTACAACCATAGAAAGTGCACTTCAACAAGACAGAGGTTGGTACGGGAAACAGAGATAACAGCAGGAGACTTTGAAAAGGTTATATCATTCTCACCCTCATTGTATTTCATCTAACCTTTTGGGATATTTTCCCAAATATTGAGTGAATTCAATAATAAAGCCCTAGATTTTTTTTTTCTTGATGTATTTTGTATTTTTGTAATTCTTCCATGCATGCAACAGTTCCTACCATTTTACATATTCTTAGATCCCCTTTTGCAGTATCTCATTTCACTTGCATCATATCCTTTTTTTATTTTATTTTTTCATCTCAGGTAATTTCACATCGAGCTAGCATTTTGATGTTTTCAGGAAATTCTCCTCACTCATATAACAACATTCATGTAGTTACGAGCCTTAGATAACACTGAACTGCATACCTTTTCACTAACACCCTCTTTGCTTGTTATGTTTCAGCATAAATAGCATGCCGTCCATTCTCTAACATGTTTTCTGCGCTCAAAGAGACAGCTGACAATTTACAGAAACATACGTCCTAGAAAAGTGCAGAATGTCCACACAGTCATTGTGTTTGCCCTTTCACATAACGCTGTCACATAAGAGATAATGTATTCTTGTTTGTTTGCTGCAGTCTTGCAAAAATTGATGCAGTGAATTGTGGCTTCTTTGCTGAGTGCATGAAAAATAGCAAAAAAGAAATGACTCTTATTTATTCTTCTCCCACTTACGGTAAAATGGATTCATGTCTCAGGAATCAATTTGAATACGGTTGAACAAAGAAAGCCTTCGGGCACATCTATGAAAAAACTATACTTGGGGGATTAACTGAGAATAAAGTACATTAAAAGTCAGCCGCTGCAACATAAGACACAAGACAAGGTTCTTTAACTCTATTACATATGTTCCTGTGCTGCTGCTGCTTCTTCTGTTTATCCAAAATCACTCCTCCCTGCTCTTCCTGTTGTCACAACCGATAAACTTAAACATCTCGGTAAAGGATCTTAGATGCACTCCACATCCTGCGGGTCTATTAAAGTCACTCTGCCGGGAGAGGAAACTGCTGTTTAGACAAAGAGCAGCACTCATCAGTAGCCTTAGTGATCCAGCCAAGTCAATCACAATGTAATTGTGCTTGTGATCCAGAGGATGGGGCTGAAGCATTAACCACACGGAGCTGTTCTGCTGTTTATGACTCTGTGTGTCTAAGGGTAAGGCTGCAGACTTGTGCTCGTATGACAAGGCTGATTGTAAATTGAATTGCAGCTCACATAAAAAAAAAAAAAAACAAGATACTTAAATGAGGTTTTCAAGCGGCTAAGGTCTGTTTGTCCCGGACTGCAGATGTGTTCAAGAAATGATAACGCTGCTATAAAAGCATGATATAAAAATAAAATAAGGCAGGTGAGGGACCAGTCTTCTGTTGCCACAAGGAAACTCCAGAATTCTTCTAGATCCAAATCCAGCCAAAACCTGATCCCCAGACATCCTCAAAGAGATGTTCTGAGGGGGTTTGAGACGTCTTTTAGTAGAGGGGAAAATGTCTTGGTAAATGTATCACAAAACCACAGGTATTACTCTGGAGATTTAAATTCCTCTTCACGCATAAGAGAGCAAGAAGAGGCACTTTTTCCAGCATTGGCAGGGGCACGTCTGTCTTTTTTTCTCTCTTTCTCACTCTATTCCCCGCTGCCTGAGAAGTCCTGATAAGACACACTACTATCTGGGGAGGAGTTACCCCAGCGTGCCGAGGTGGGATTCAAAATTGTTTGATGGAGTGACTGATTAGCGGTTTTATTTTATTTTTATTTTTCTCCCCGGTGTTGCTATGGGACACTTGTCTTTGAAGTTGTGACGCTGCCATTCCAGTTTTTCTGCCAAGCAACCGTGGATGACGGTAGGGATTAAATTATTTCTGCCATTGTATTACTGGTGGACTTGTAATTTTCTCTCAAGTGCACTGCTTCTTGAGGGCCGTTCTCATAGAGCTGTGGTAGTGGTGGAAAAGAAAAACAGGAGTGAACATAACTTATGGTTGCAAATGTATGAATTTGATACTTGAGCATATGAAACAAGTTCAATCTAGAGTATAAAATCAATTAGCATACCAAATAGATTTTAACCCGTTCTTGTCTGAAAGATTATTTTGTCAGTTAGCTCTTACTTTTTCTATTCCTTTTGCTTTAATCTCAGGAAACCATCGATTTTTTTACGCACAGAAAACTACATACATGTATTGAATTGCTGGAAAATATGACTAAACTTATAAATTATACTCATCTTTGCTGGAATTGACTATTAATAATTACATTTCTGCTATATGGGATCATCATATATCATATTAAATCATATCTTTGACAGTTATTTAGAGAGAAGAAGAGACTGATGCTGCGAGACGCATCAACAAACATTTCATGAAGGTTTCGTGTGTGTTCAGATGGAGCGGTGATAACTGTTGGGAGCTCATTTTACACCTTTGTGTGGACTGCACACACCGACCAACTATGACTGTAGAAAGCAAGCCTACAGAGACTTCAGTGTGTAATAATGGTTTGTGTATAATACTTAAAAGACTTGGATAATAAACTGTTAAGAACCACTCAAAATTAAAGCTGTCAAAGTTGTATTTTAGTGACAAATCTCAATTTTATGGTACACTTGGTGTGCCTTTGTACAAATAAATAAAATACTACTTCAAATTTAAATAATCATTCTTCCCTATAATTAGCTGTACTTTTGTTTGCTGTGCTTTTAAATGATAGAAAAACTGCACCCATGTCCTTTCGTCTATCTCTTCCGATTTGTTTCTAAAGTGAGTGTAACATATGGAGATGACTTCAAAAGGCAGATTTTAACCATGGTTAAGAAAGACATTTCTTTCTCTTCATTTGAAGGAAAATGTTGCTGATATTCTTCTTTCCCTATTTGAGGCTTCTGAAGAGACCAAAACCAACAATGTTCAAGTTCGTAATACTTTGTGACTTCTCCCTGTCAGTGGCACTCAGCCCGAAGCCCACCGCCTCCTACTGAAGATGTAAGCCTCTGAATCATCTCACATCTCATATCTCCAAGCCTTCCTTTTATCATGTTCGACATATATCTAAAGTTAGATGCTTCCTGTCACAGCCACGCTCTGAAAAAAGCTGCTTCTAGTGGCGTTTATTTCCACTAGACTAGATTTCTGTAATGCAGCTTTTGATGGACTGAAAAGGCAGGTGTTGAATAAAAAGCAGCTTGTTCAGGATGCTGCAGGTAGTGAAATGAATTTTAACTTCTCCTCAGTGGCTTTCAGTAAAGCAAAATTGATTTTCTAATGCTTTTTTTTTTGTTCTGCCTAAATTAATGAATGTGTAAGCTGTGCTCTGCATGGTTGACATGCTCCATGAATTCGCACAAAGCACCGACCTTGGATCACAAATGTCCTCACCTCACCGGCGATAGATTCTCATTAGGACAGCAGTGTGTTAGGCTCAGTGTTTTTGTACTCTTGTGCACACTGGTGTAGTTCTAATTCAATAATCCTATTACCTAAAATCAGACTGGAACAATGTTTTATATCAACTTTAATTTAGGAGTTGAGTATGTGATTAAATACGTAAGTGTATTGCATTCACTTACAAAGAGGAAACTTTTTTGAGCATTTCTTTTTCTTTGCTGTTGTTCGGAGTATTTTTTCCATCTTTCTGTTTTTTTGGACTATTTTTCTTCCTGACTAAACGAGATACTTCAAAATCCTGCGAGAGTCTCATACAATCAGATAACATTAACCACCACGGCTGCTCTAAATAAGCGGATTCTCAAGCTCCTAGATAACTTCGGGGTCAAAGAGAGTAAGGCATGTTATTAGTTAAACATAGGGTATGCAAATCCTGAGGTGCCGGTGCAAAGTAGACAGACTTATGACAATTCCATCTTTCAGACTTAAAGAAAGGAGTATCTCCCAGTGTCTCAAACCCAAAAGAAAGTAAAACTTGATAAAACTAAAAAAAGTCGGCCATGTTTGCTTCCAATCGATCGAGCAGAAGGGGATGAAAGCGTCTAATGAAAGTGTTAAATGATCATGATCCCAAAGAATAGGAAAAACAATAAGTCTGAAAACAACGAACAAAACAAAAACAGTCTGAAAAACAGAAAAATTAGTAAAAAAATAAAAATAAAAATTACACAGAAAAACAGAAAAAAAATTGTCCAAAAAACAGTAAAAAAATACTCTGAATAACCGAGCTTTTTAATTTTTAATTTTTGGTAAATGCAATACGATTACATAATTAAAAGCTCAATTATCATTTTATTTTTCACAGAAATTTAATAGAAAAAATATATATCATTCTATTTAAATGTCCTGAAAGTGACTTTTTGTTTGTGCTGTCTTTGGCGCCCCCTGTTGACAAAGCACTACCTTTAAATTCTGATCTAATCTTGTTCATGTCCAAGTGATTAAAAAAATCTCACTCTGCTTTAGTGTCACAGTCAAACGTATTATTCACTGTGAATCTCTGAGAGGAAAATGGGGGGTAAAGTGTTTTAGCAGCATGCAGTTAATCACTTTGACTGTCACCTGTTGGGGCTCTGAAGCAGCTAATTCACTATTTGTTTCAGCAGGTTTTTATACTCTTGATAACTGACTTGTCTATTGAGGGGATGCTTGTCATATATAATAAGGTATAAACAGTTTTGAAAAGTGGGGCACAGATACTCAAGGTACTTTTTTGAAAGGTAGCATCACTTGACTATATTTGAGCAAAAATCCCATAAAACTAGAAGCTCAGCTGTTGCACAGTCAGTGCATTGGGGAGTATTCACATCACTTTGACAGCTTATGTGGAATTGCTAAAAATATACCGCATCAAATATATCTTACGGATCCTAAAATGCAGCTTTTGATTCTGAGTTTCCGCGGCTTTGCAGCACACACACGTAAGAATCGTCACTTTCTGCTACACAGACGAGATGAAGTTTGATCAAAAGGTAATTAAATGTGGTCTTTTTAATCATCGCTACACAGAAATAACTTAAGATTGTTAGCAGCCTCTAACGTGATCAGCAGTACATTCGGACCACTCCTTGCAATACTAAACTTTGTTCCACATCCTTTTATTAAGCGCCCTGATGAAGGCAGAGACACTTGTTGAATAAAACATGGCAAATTTGGGGTCTGTTGTGCAGGTGGTTGTGTAATTTTAATGGACTTACATTGAAAAATTGAACACTGCACAGCTCTGCACACTGGCATTCAAGCTTTTTCTGTGTTGTAATATACTCACGGTGCATTTTCGCTCCAGATGACAAGATGTAAAGCTTAAGAAAGGAGGAAAAAAAACATCCACAACACTCACGCTGGTAATTGTTTCTCTGATTTCTACCTTTTACTTTCCTCTTCGCTCCTCGATAATCTTCAGCTCTGTATCCCTTATTTGCATTAAGAGACGCTTTGTCTTGATGAGTTTGGGGTCAAGGGCCTTTGTCAAAGACTTTGTATCTGTGTTTCTCTTTGAGGTAACACCGTGAAGCCCTCAGTCGCTGCTCTCAGAGGGAGTACCGCCTCCCATTAGGGATTCAGCCAACTACCTTATTAATTAGCCTCTGCAGCTTTAGGCCAACCTGCTAACCCATTTAATGAGTAAATAATTGCTTCTTAGGTCTTATGTCACCGTGTCTTTTATTAATATGGAAAGTTATCTCAAAATTACTCTTGAACCCTCCGAGTGCCAAAATGAATTTGGAGCAGGGGAGAATTTGGCCCAAAGATCCATCTCTGGGCGGTGAATCTTTGAGGATTGGTTAAAAATAAGATAAATGCCGGTTTGATTCCTGGAGGATTTTAGGAACTGTCGAAAGACTATTTGACAAGGGATTGTTATCAAATAATTGGAAAAGTACATCCAATTTAAATATCTTTCTTGAACTTGTACAAACAGATAAATGAAACATTTTGCTCCCCCTTCAGTTGTTCGCTGTTTCTCCTTTTACACAAACTTGTTTCCACCTTAAACTCACACACCACACGACCTAATCGTTCATTAATTTTTCTAATTTAATTTTTATTTTACCGGAATAATAATGGCCTTACAAAGTGCAACAAGCCACAAGCTTGGGGATAAGTAGATCTTTTTTCAGTCCCTCTGCTCTAATACCAGAGAAAAGCAGGTAATTCGAGCGGCTTGTATCATTTTACATATGGACTTTACTTTGAAGAACTCCCTCAGGTCTGAGTGGCTCTCTGTTAAGTGGGTAAAAGCCACATCAATAACTTGTCTTTCCTGATCTATCAGGGCCTGGTGATTGATGAATTACAAATCAATAGGGGTTTATTTATGGAGGTGATATTTTACTTCTGACAACGCCGAACACATAGTCGCTGTAGAGCTGTGGTTAGTCTTGGAAAGCGGATATGTTTGTCTTCACAGACCTAAAAATAATACTCTTATACAACTTACAACCAAGGAGGGTGTTTTCTCAAGGAAGCATTGTGCCAATGGAATAACATTTTCCTTTTCACACATTAAAGAAGTGATATCGTAGCGTGGAAATTGCAACATTATGAAGCTGTAAATGAGCAGACAAGTTAATCTAATACATAACAACGACGTTTTAATTTGAACTCTGCCAGCAACTTGTTGTGACTGCTGACTATAAAACTTTAAATACAGGAAAAAGAAGCTATGACTACAAAACTATTATTGTTTTCATCTAAAATGCTTCGGTCGGCTTCACCGTACAATACAGTTATTCTTCCTCGACTAAACAAGTCAAAGATTTAGCACACAGAAGGATACGCACAGAAAATAACAAGAGACAGAAACATAAGGAGGACGCACTTGTGTAACAAAACAAGAAGCAGGCCAAGAAACTTTAAAATCAGCCGTCTCACACCTCTGCAGGAGAGAAAATCTCATCATGGACTGTGGAAAGGTCAAGGTCATACAGAGAACAGCAGAGACCAGCATTGTATATGGAAGTTGGTAGAATTCGACTATTCTGCAGGAAAAACTTTTTTTTACCAACATTGAGGATGAAGGTGTTGAAGTGGTTGTTGTGTTTTGCTGATTTGTGGCCTCCTGGTCGCTGTTTTGCATGAACATCTTGATGATGGTTGATGGTTCAACCTTCAGCTGCTTAGCTCCAGAAACCTGAAATATGTTCTCCTAAAACTTAAACACAACAATGGAAGAGACTTATAACCAAGCATGAATTGTTGTCTTAAGCTTTTCAGTGCTTTTTTTGTTAAATGCACCATGTTGTATTCACTCTTTTTTCAGTATAAAGTTGTGTGATTTGGTCAAATTTGAATGAAAGAAAGTGATTTATCAAGTTGGCGTCAAGTAAACTAGTTAGTCCTGAATAACATCAGATTTTAGGAAACATTTCATCTTTTGCGATCTTTCTCTCCCTTTGCAGCGATCTCTGTGCCTCTCTCACTGCTCGGTTAATGACTGTATGTGAATTTAGCACCTATTTATAAACCTGTCGCTGCTTACAACACCCAAAAGTATTACTGTTTCAATAAAATCAGGCAATGAGAGTTAAAAATCTCTCTTTTCCCTCACCTTTCTCATCAAAGTTTAGGGTCAAACCAGTATGTTTGGCACCCCCAGCAGGAGGATACCAAAAAGTAGAGTGGTGTGAGTTGATTATTTCGGCACCTTTCCCAACTTTTGACCATGGAAATGCAAATAAATGCGTACTGTTTCATCCTGAACCATACCCCTCTGTGGAGACGCACCATAATTGTTCTACCCCTCAACCTATGGTCATAAAACTGGCAGCAATAACAATAAAAAAAAAAAGTTAAAGAGCAGTGAAGTTAAATGTAAATTTGGACAGACAGGATTGGACTCTAAGGTCTGTATTTTAAATTGTTAATGACTGAATTCTCCTCAATAAATATGGTCAATTATGGCTGTATATCAATAATTTAGAAAGCTGAGATTTGAAAGTTTTATCTCTTAATATTTTATGATACACCAAAAAAA